TACCTAGAGGGTCATACCCTACCCCCTTTTCAAGGGTACCTAGCCCTCAACCCTAAACCCCAAATCCTAATTTTGAGAAGAGTAGGTATACCCTTAAAATTCAGGGTATGACCCGACAGGTAATATAGGGGCCTTGATAACTCGAATAGGGTTTTGGGGGTTCCTCATTATAAGTATAGTATAATTCATACCCCGAAACACTATTCTAATAAGGCTCCTACATTAACAAGCTCCTTGAAGGAATTCATATACCAAGAAACCCTTCGCGGGCTCAAGGGCTTGAAGGGTTTTACGGGTTCCTGGAACGGTTTCAGGTTGCCTTTGAAGTTTAGGGTTTTGGGTTTAGGGTTTAGGGTTTAGGAAAGGTTTTTTCTTCCTTTGAGGGTTCCCTAGGCGCTCCTGTTCAAGGGTTTCTATGATGCTTAACTGGGGTAAGGGAAAGGGGCCTTTCGAACACTCCATAGGGTTCCTCTCAGGGCCCCTTCCCCAAGGGTCCATGTACCCAAATAGTATATACTTTGGCCTTAAAGTGCTCCTTCTATAAGCACGTTGGGGCCAAAGTATATACTATTTGGGTACATGGACCCTTAGGGATATTGCTAAACCCTAAACCCTAAACCCTAAACCCTAAACCCTATATATCTATTATTTGGGTACATGGACCCTTAGGGCTTGAAGAAGCCCTCATCCGCGCCTTCCAGCACTTGATGGCAGCGGCTATCGAAATCCGGTGCCGTTGAAGCTGCCAGAGGCTCCTGCGAGTCGGGGAGGACTCCCAGGGGTCAAGATTTAGGCAAGGCTTTAGGCTTTAGGGCCCTTTAGGGTTTAGGGTTTAGGGTTTAGGCTTTAGGCTTTGGGGTTTAGGGTTTAGGCTTTACGGTTTAGGGTTTAAGGGTCTTGAAGGGGTATACAATGATGCTATGGGGTTTTAGACCTTATGTTTACAGGATTCAGGGATCAGGGTACAGGTTACGGGTTCTATAACGGGTTTATGGGGTTGCGCAAAGGCTTTATCTGGTTCTATACGGTAGGACTGTATAAAGTTGTGCTGAGGGTGTTTCCACGGGTGATACACCAGCCTTCTGGGCGATGTTAGGCTTTGTTGCAATGAGTATCAGCCGCTGTTGTTCTTTTGCATTCCTCAGCCTTTACCTGCCAAAACGTCTCATTTGCAGAGCCTTCATACTATAAGCCCCACAAGTATTGAAAGCTATCAATCCAAAAATTCTTAACCTAAACCCTAAACCCTAAACCCTAAACCCTAAACCCTAAACCCTAAACCCTAAACCCTAAACCCCAAACCTACTCAAGCTTACCCCCCAAAGAATGGAACCTGCCCCCCGAACCCCAGCCGTCCTTGGCTGAGGTGCCCGGCACTTCCAAGGTGAGGGCAGTGCGGAAGTCCTGGGGATTCTGGGAGCTAATAAGCCAAGGGTTTAGGGTTTAGGGTTTAGGGTTTAGGGTATAAGCCAAGGGTTTAGGTTTAGGGTTCTAGGCTTTCCTTACGGACGAGATGAACCGTGAAAGAGATTAAGGCTCAGATACCATAAAGGGATTCATAAAGTGAAGGTACGGGGCTCCTACTTACAAGGGCCTTTTGGTCCCGAAGTCAGACCCTCCTCCCATTTTTTCCCGCCTCGAGGCGTTTGAGGCTTCAGAATCTACTATACAGGTGCATGGAACCTTCGGGTTTGGAGCCTTAAAAGGAACCGTTGGAGGAACCCTTCAAGGAATTATGCCGGAAGCGTCCTATGTACCTATTTCGTAGAAGGTAGGGGCTCAATTATAGGAACTACTACGCTGATTGAGGGAAGTATCCCCCGCATAGGTACACAGGACCCTTTCCTTAAACCCTAGGCCCTAAACTCCAAGCCCAAGCCGTAAACCCTAAACCCTCAAAGGAACACTGAAAAGGAACCCCTTAAGGAACCCTAAACCCTAAACCCTGAACCCTAAACCCTAAGCCACTACACCCTACCTTAAGAACCCAAAACCTACTTTTTTGTAGGGTCCCTATAAATCCCATATTAGGGTTTTATAATAGGAACCTACAAAAAAGTGGGTTTGGGGTTCTTGGGTACACCCAAACCCAAAAACCCCTAAGCTCTAAACCCCTAAACCCTCAAGCCGTTCCCCTACAAACCCTGGGCCCTAAACCCCTAAACCCTAAACCCTATAAACCCGAAACCCCGAAACCCAAAACCCAAGAATCCCAAAAAGACCCCTAAACTCTAAACCCTAAACCCTAAACCCTAAACCCTACAAGGAACCCCAGGAGCCCACGGAAACCCGGAGGCCTTCGGCGCCTCGGGGCCGAAATGGGCGTTGACCCGACGCTCGAGGCTGGCTCTGAGTCCTCTACCCAGACCCCCAAAAGGATCTAAAAAATAGATCCCCTTAGGGTTTAGGGTTTAGGGTTTAGGGTTTAGGGTTGAGGGTTCCTATAAAGTACCCTTTAGTAGTTGGGGTCCCTAGTTAGGGGATCTATTTTTTAGATCCTTTTGGGGGTCTGGGCAAGGGATCCTCTAAGGATCTCGGTCTGTTTTTTCAAGTGCAATGACTCTTTAGGGTTTAGGGGTTTAGGGTTTAGGCTTTTGTTTAAAGTGCAGTGACCCTTAAGGGTTTAGGGGTTTAAGGTTTGGGGTTTAGGGGCTTAGGGTTAAGGGCTGATAGGGTTTATAGGGTTAAGGGTTTAGGGTGTACAGGGGTTTAGGGGCGCAAAGCCTCGACGGAGCGGTGCAAGGTGGGGAGCCACCACTGCGTCGTAGTTCGCGGTTTAGGGTTTAGGGGTTTAGGGTTTAGGGTTGTGGAGTCCATACCAGCAATGTCAGCGATGTATCGCAGACCTTCCACGCCACCGATCGGCAACCAGGTGGAGGCGTTTTCGCTCCACAACTCAGCGATGATCGGCAGCGCCAGCTGCTGCTGAAGCTGCTGGTTTGGCGTTAACCATGTCGCCGTGGCGAAGATCGGTGGCGGCAATGCGGCCATTTCTGGGCGTAATGGGAGTCCGGAAGCGCGATACAGAGCTGGCCTTGGATGGATTGCTTGGCGAAGAGCCATCATGTGGATCACCAGCTCTTGCTGGACCTTGTCCTCCAACAGCTGCTCCCTGTCCTGCTTCAGCTCCGTGTCCTTGACCTTGGACTCGACGTTCTCGATCTGCCGAAGGTAAGACGCCTCGTTGCGCCATGCTATCCGCCCGAAGTCGGCAAACATCTCGAAGGCCGCCCGGCAAGCACCCTGACTCCAGCAGGGCAGCAAGGAGTCGCTGTCCCACGGACAGAAGACTTTCCCTGCAACGCCTGGATATCAAGTCTCTGCTCTTCGCATCGCGCTGACCTGAAGTGCCCTGAGCAGCTTCCTCCCAGCTGTATCCTCCTCCCTCACTCCTGCTGCAACAGCCCTTAAGGGTTCCTTTAAGGGTTTCACTAAGGGATCCTTTACAGCTTCAAGGCTTCCTCTCAGGGATCCTTCAAGAGTTCATCTTAGATCCCTTAAGGAATCCATTCGAAACCGTAGGGCTGAGGGCTCCTTGAAGGGGTTTAGGGGTGTAAGATTTAGGATTTAGGGTTTAGGGCTCAGGGCTCCTGGAAGGGATCCTTCAAGAAGTCCTGACGGATTCCTGTGGCTGATGATAAAAATCCTGCATTACCTATGGGAATTATGGTATGTTCCTCAACGGTATGGGGGGATACTTTTTTATTTCGTAACTGTGGCAATGATAATTCGAAGACCCTAACCCCTAAACCCTAAAAACTAAACCCTAAGCCCTCCCTAAACCCTAAACCCTAAACCGTCAACCATAAACCCCTAAAGCCCTAAACATAGTTACTTTGGGCTCCTTGGGCTTCAAGAGTTTCTCCAAGGGTTCCCTTACAAGTTACAAGAACGTAAACCCTAGAACCCTAAAGCCCTAAGCCCTAAGCCCTAAGCCCTAATCCCTGAACCCTACACCCTTGAACCCTAAGCCCAGGAAAAAGGCCCCTCGAAGAGTTCCACTAAGTATAAGGGCCTATAGGGTTTAAGGCTCAAGACTTGTGAACCCGAAACCCACTTCAAGGATTCTTGAAGGGTTGTTGTAAGATCATTCCCTAAGGGTCCATGTACCCAAATAATAAATATACAGGGTTTAGGGTTTAGGGTTTAGGGTTTAGCAATATCCCTAAGGGTCCATGTACCCAAATAGTAGAACATTGGCCCTAAAGTACCTGTATAGGGACTACATTAAGGCCAAAGTACATACTATTTGGGTACATGGACCCTTCGGGATTAGTGTTCATTTAGGGATTTGGGGTTTGGGCTTGGGGTTTCCGGGTTTGGGTTTAGGGTGCTTGGGTTTTAGGGTTTAGGGCTCCGGGGGTTTAGGGCTTAGCTTGAGGTCTAGGGTTTAGGGTGCTTGAAGTTCTTTAAGGACCTCACTTAAAGGAGACCAGAGGAGTTTGGGTTCCGAAGAAGGGATCTGTAAGGATTCTGCATGATTTGCTCTGTGGGCTCCTTGTGGAACCCTAAACCCTAAACCCTAAACCCTGAACTCCGGGAGGTAGAAGAGGTCTATCAGGGCTTTATCCGGATTTGTTCAAGGGTTCTGTTGCGGTTTTCTGATTGAGGCTTTTGGGTTTAGGGGTTCGGTCTTAAAGGCTCAGGGCTTCTTTACCTGCAAATGTACTATAGGGTTTAGGGTTTAGGGGTTTTCATCAGAACAGGGTTGTTTCTCGGGGGGGGGGGGTGATATTATTCGACTATCGCAAAAGTAAGGAACACCAACATAGTACTGGCTAAACCCTAAACCCTAAACCGAACCTTGTGGATCATTGCACAGCTGCCGCAGCATCATCAACAGCTGCAGGTGCACACCCTCGCCGTATTGCGAAGCCTGGGGAGTCGAGAAACCTGCCTCCCCAACCCCAAAACTGACCCCAGGACAGTTTAGGGTTTTGGGGTTTTGGGGTTTAGGGTTTAGGGTTTAGGCGTTTAGGGTTTAGGGTTTATAATAAGGTTGTCAGTACACCAGCTACCCTAGATGCCGCAAAAAAGGCCTTGTGTGCCACGAACCAAAGGAACCTTCGGCAAAGCTGCCAGCCGCTGCAACAAGTTTGAGGTAGTTGTCGGCTCTTCAGAACTCCTCAGAGACTCCAAAACCCCTTAATTAAGGAATATTTGAATATACCCTATAGATTGAATAAGTACTAATCGGAACCCTAATAAGATTTAGGGTAGATTCCTAAACCCTAAACCTCAAACCGTAAACCCCAAACCCCAAACCCTAATAAGATTTAGGGTAGATTCCTAAACCCTAAACCCTAAACCCTAAACCCTAATAAGATTTAGGGTAGATTCCTTAATTAAGGGGTTTAGGGAGTCGCTGGGTCCTCTCACAACGAAGGTCTTCCGGGCTTTTGAGGCTTTTTCCCGAAGGCTCCATGGAGCCCTACTTTGGGTTTAGGGTTTAGGGGTTTAGGGTTTAGGGTTTAGGGTTTAGGGTTTAGGGTTTAGGGTTTAGGGTTTAGGAGTTTAGGGTTTAGGGTTTAGGGTTCATGTACCTGTATAGTAGATACTTAGGCCGCAAAGGGGTCCCTATATGGGTACTTTAGGGCCTAAGTATATACGATATGGATACATGGAGCCTTAGGGTTAAGGGTTTCGGCCTCACATCTGACACCCCAGCAGCCAGCCCTCTGCAATGAGTCCTACAGCCAAGATCAGTTTCAAACCCCCCTATAAACGCACAGAAGCCACGCGACATGTATTAGGGTTTAGGGTTTAGGCCTTCAATACTGGAGGCCTAATTACTTGTAGGCCCTAAAGTGGGAACTACTATGGGGCCTATGGGTAGTCATCAAACCAAAAAACCAACCAACCCGTGCCCCGATAAGCCATCAACCTCGACCCAACAACCCTAAATCTTGCCACCCGTCAAACCTAAACCCTGAACCCTAAACCCTAAACCCTGAACCCTAAACCCGAAACCCTAAACCCGTAAACAACAAATACTCCAACCTTCACACCTGAAACCTTAATTGT